TGATGTAATGCATTCGACTATTTCTACCACAACACCATGGTTACAGTTAGCGTTACCGCTTCTGGATTCCTGACGTACGTCAGCGCTGTTTACAACACAGAATTCTGTGCAGAATTTGAATGATTCTCACTAGATCTCGCAGCAACCTTATCATTGTGCGGCGAATTCAAACGCTTCTCACTGGATCTCGCAGCACTGTTGCATCTGTGAAGTAACAGTGTCGCGAATTCAACTTTGCTCCCGAGTAAAGCTGTTCTGAGCTCGGACAAGTTTGTTTGCTTCGCGGTCCGAGCTGATTTGTAAATTCATCTATTCATTCATTTATTAGAAGAGGTTGGAATCGATATCCCTTTTATCGATAACCCTCTCCCCTCCCTCTCTCTCTCTGCCGCCTGCCACTGATATTTAATGAGTTTACCCAGAGAGTCAACATCAGAAGAGAAAATCACCAATACCTCTTTCTATGTGTGGGTGTGCTTGGTGGGTTCACTTTCATCCCCTGGGATCTGATTAGTTCCTCTGTGTTAACATTTAGCCATCATTTTGGTTCTCACTTGCTTTGACTGATTGATCAATGAAAAATGACCACTAGACTAAAGCTTACCTGTTTGGCTGTTTCATCAGATGAAATATGAAAGATAATGACATGCATCCAAAAATATACACAGCACATTCCTATTGCCTGCTGCTTTTTGTTAGAAATGTAAAAATCTGCATTTATTTTCTTTATTTTTTTAAGTGTTTTATGTGATGTGTTTTTTCTTTCTCTTGCTTTCAATTTTTCCCAATGATAATTGTAAAAAAAAATAGCCTATGAGCTATGACACTGTAACAGGACAAAATCTTACAGGAGTGTGACTGAAAAACCCTTATAGACTTCTACTTATTGGCTTTTGCAGGTGAGAGCACAGCATTGTGAAAGTTGTGGATGGGAGTGAGACAAAATATGACATATTTTTCAGGAGCGGGCTAGAATCAATCTTATGGTTGCAAAGAAAAGTATCAACTTCTACATTAATTGCATTGATACAGAATTCAACTGATGTGATGGCCAGTTGAGTCAGGAGTGTACTGTAATATCAATGACTACAATGTGCTTCAAAATGCTTAAACAAAAGTGAGCTCACAATAAAAAAATTAAAAAAATGCTTTTTAAAGTTATCTTTTGCCGTTGTTTGAAATGACTGGAGAATCAGGAAGTAATAGGACAGGAACAGGATCTCAAGCCAGGACTCAAACTCAGGTTGGCCATATTGATGGGAAGTTTGTATCATTTTACTGACTCGGATCTTTGAATCTCATTTAGCAAAATGAACAAACCCTTTTTCAAGTCATTTCATTCATTTCGTTGATTTCAGCAGAATATAATAAAAATGTTAAATATTAATATGCAAATTCCCCAACATATCTATTTACGCAAACATTGATCTCATTATATGAACTATAATGCAACCAAGACCAAATTATAAGAAACAGAAATTATTAATTCATTTTCATTAAAATTCGAGACCGGAAACATTACATAACTGTAAAAATAAAAAAATAAACTATGCGCTTGTTTGTAAGGAAGGTTGGGAATTATTAACACATTTCTGTATCCATTGCTGCTCTCACGTCATGTGACAAAAGAATGAATGACTTGGACCTGAAGACTCGGGAGATGAACTAATCATTTCTCTTTCCGGTACAGAATCTATTGGATTTTGCGCATGCGTGGTCAAAACGAAATGAATGAATCCCTCGCTGAGACAACTCGATGTTCCAAGTCATATTTCAGTTTCATTCAAAATGAACAAATCGTTTAAGAACGACCATCAGTAGTCGACCAAAGCATTGCTGCGTGATAGGGCTGTCAAAAAAAAATTTCAAATTCCGAATATTCGTCGAATTTAAAATAAAAATCCACATTCGAATGCAAAAACGTTGCATTCGAATTTTAGGTGTGCGTTAAGGAGGCTGCCTTATCAGCGGCGCACGAGATACGATGACGATTTAATTGTCGTTGCATTATAATGTTTTTGTTAACCTATCCAGTTGAAGCCACTAGATGCGGCGCTGCTGCGTTGTTCATTCAAAATATTGCGGAAAAAGATAACGTCAATGCAGAGAAGATCTTGTTTACCTCAAAACTGAAACCAAGCCGTTCACACAGAACACATATTTCGCGCATTTTCTAGAGGGACATCTATCAATGTTGCACTCGCATGTTGCACAAAGGAGCCGCATGTTTAGAAAGCCATGTAAAATTAATGCAAGTTAAACTTTTTAAAAACATGTCTCAAGACGTTATGGCGGTTTTCCCCATCCCACTGCATCTCAAGTTTTTAAATGATTGGCTTTCCGCCCTTTGTATTAAACTATGCATACATACATGATGCTGTTTTGTTTTAATTAATTATAATTGTTAATTATGTACATTATGCACTTTTTTCACAGATAGTCATGTTTTCTTATGCTTTGAATAAACGTGCATTAGTAATATTTTGCTCGATGCGCCCTCTTGTGCCCTCAGAATTGAAGCAAAAGCTTTTTTCACCCTAACTGAAATTATGCATTTTAAATTAAGTCAAGTCAAGTCACCTTTATTTATATAGCGCTTTTAACAATACAGATTGTGTCAAAGCAACTGAACAGCATTAATTAGGAAAATAGTGTGTCAATAATGCAAAATGACAATAGTAAGCACTAATTTTCCAGTTAAAGACAGTTTAATTAGAATATAAATTAGAATATAATTCAAATTTTGATAATATTTAAGTACAAAATTCGAATTTAGTTTTTCAGCCATTTTGACAGTCCTACTGTGTGATATGACATCATGGTGCCCACAAGGCTGTATCTCCAACATAAATATGTGGTTTAAGGTTTTACTTGCAAATCAATAAACAGACAGTGTAAAAAAAATCTGTAGGATTGCACATTGTATGTGTAGGATCTAGTGACCCTGCAGAGAGAAGAGCAGTGAGCCTCAAGGGGGATTTCTATCTGAAAACTGTTAATTAACATGCAGTATACCAATCTTTACTAATAAAAATGGCCTCTATGACCCAATTATTTAGGCTGTATTTGTGAAATTACACTTTTTTGTTGTTGTTGTTTACATGCTCTTTCCTTATGACAGACATACAGTGGGTATAGAAAAGAATTCACCCCACTTTAAAATAATAAAATTTTGTTGCTTTGCAGCCTGAAATGAAGACGGACACCGTTTGTGTTTTATCGAGCTGTATTTACTCAGTGCAACTTATAACATCCAAGTGAAAGATAAAACACTAACATGTTAGAAAAATTTGTGGACTGCAGTCTTCAGGTCATTCCACAGATTTTCAGTGTGTGCTCAGTTTTGCTGTGTGATTTGTGTCATTGTCATGTTGGAAAAACCTTCCCATTGACAACTTTCTGGCAGCGGGCAGCAGATTTTCCTCAAGAATTTGATGGTATTTTGCCCCATTTATTTTCCTTCTACCCTGACAAGTGCTCCAGTCCCTGCTGCAGAGAAACACCCCAGAACAGGATATCTTTCAGAGAATAATTTCATCATTTATTTCAAACTAGCATTTACAGTGGTAGAGGGATCAAGACATGGGGAGATATTCTTTAACAAATCTCCATCATGTTATGAGTTGTCTTACATTTTAATCTTGATTCATTTTTCATTTTCTCTCATGTACTTCATAATTATGCAACTATCATGACTTTGATTTGCTTGCTCTGTGTACAAAGCAAGACAAGGATAACAACATAACACTGTGATCTAAAAACATTTAAAAAGATTAACAACAGTGTTTAGACCAGCAGCCAGTGACCAAATTTCCCTAACACCTACAGTTTGACTTAGAGATCAAAGATGAGACACTTGAATCAAGACTGAGGCCTCCGGCTTACTTTAACACTTGTTTATTCCTTTATTTGCAGGCTTGTATTGCCATAGCAATGTTTGCAACAGGTGGGGTGATCACAGGGCTCGCAGCACTGAAAAGACAAGACTCCGCCCGCTCTCAGTATCATCTGCCAATCCAGAGCCCCACCTCTGCACCTGAGAAGAAATGCACTAAGCGTAAACCTAGAGCTGATGTGGTGGTGGTCAGAGGGAAGATCAGACTGTATTCGGCCTCAGGATTCTTCCTGGTTTTGGGAGTGCTGATCCTCATGGCAGGCATCGCAATGGCTGTTCTAGGATACTGGCCTCATAAGGACCACCAGAAGGCACCAGAAAGCAAGTTGTCTGTAAACAATACGCAGGTTGGCCGAGAGCAGGTGGGCTCTATTGCGCAGTTTTTGGAGCAGCACCTGCATTCAGAGAAGATGAAAATGTTGGGTCCTTTCACAATGGGAATTGGGATTTTTATCTTCATCTGTGCTAATGCCATCTTACATGAGAACAGGGATCGTGAGACTAAGATTATCCACATGAGGGACATGTACTCGACAGTCATAGACATTCACAGCTTGCGGATTAAAGAGCAGAAGTGTACGAACGGTGCCTACATGGGTCCCTATGCGGACACAAAGATCCGTTCCTTTGGTCTGGACAGTCAGTTTGCCTCACGGCTCGCAGCAAACACACTAATGTCCTTCTCTGGTCTCGATGGGGATGTCCGATTCTCCCACAGGACCAGCTCGGCTGAGGATGACGAGGGTCTAATGAGTGAGGCCAGAGGTGGATTAGGCCTGTTGTCGCCTACCTACAAGGAACGTTCTGAATGTATCTTTGGGTTCCAAGATGAGGGTAAACATCGGTGGGAGGACAAGCGTGGTGCGCTCAAGAAATGGCAAACACGCTCCATCGTTTCCTCTTCCATCAGCGCCTTCACGCTGCCTGTCATCAAACTCAACAACTGCGTTATCGACGAGCCTGACATCGATAGCATCACGGAGGACTTAGAGCAGAACAGGGTGCATAATAGCTTTTTATTCTTTAACATATATGCTACCAGAGAACTGTCTTTGTGTGGTCCCGTGTTCAGTGCTGGTCATCCCATAAGTCACTCTAAAAAGACCAAAGAGCAGCCCCTAAAATATATAGCAAATCACAACAACATAGTAATTTTTAGAATACATGCTTTACTGTAAAGACAAAAACAACAAAACAACTTTATGTTATCAGCCCTAATTTCTTAGCATGCTCACGTTTGCTGACAGTCAGGGGCGGACTTAGTGATTTCAGGTATGGGGCCCTAACACAATAACTATGTGCTCTTCTACGCCTAACCCTTATTTTGCTCGCTCTCTCTCATAGTTTATAGTTTATTTACCTCTTCACAACTATATGTTCTAAAGCCATATAAGGCTACTTTATTTATTTATTTTTTCGGATCACAAAAGAAGACTATAAAAAATAAAAAATAAATCTTGCACTTGTCCATTTAATGAATTGTAACCTTCTTTAATCTTTTTACAAAAAGGATTCAAATGTCATAAAATTATCCCATGCAACTTGTTCCGTATTCCAAATGTTCTTAAGGCATAGGGTTTGCCGAGAAACAAATCGAAAATGTAATCTATTATTAATTGAAAAAGTCTCCAATTATCGCATTTGTGCATTTGTATGAGTGCGCAGCAGGGAAAAGCACACAAGCGAGTCATTTTTAAACATCCTGAAACAGGATACTTTCTTTTCTGAGTTTAATTTATCCGTTCTGAGACAGACAGGATTATACAGCCTAGAAAACGCGCAAAGAGTGCTCCCTCTATAATCACTAAAAGCTGTCACTCACTTTAGTTCATCGCAATCTCATGACGTTCCGTTAATCAATAAAGCTGTCTGCGCTGCACAATCAATCTCTTGTTTACATCGTATCTACACGTTCTTATAATGAGAGGATTCTCGAGCTTGCAGAACTCAGCACTTGACAAAAACTCAGCGTTTTGAGCAGTGAGTGAACATTTGACACTCTCCAGAACACAAATACACAGTGGAGCGTTTGCCAAATATGTTTCGCCAATATCAGATGGGGCCCGCTGATTCTCCGAGGCCCTAAGCGGCTGCTTACCTCGCTTATTGGTTAAGTTCGCCCCTGGTGACAGTAACAGAGCCTAGGCCCATGTGAAAGTGCCTGGTGAAAACATTGAGCAGTGCTCGTGTGTTCATCCGGGGAAACTCTAGGAGTATCATGGGAAGTGCTGCCAAATTCTGCTCCCAGTCAGTGAAGATCCATCTGGAGTAATACGACCAGTCAGGGTGTGACTGACAATTCACTCCATCCTGTTTCCATGGAAATACTCCATATTACAGCTCATGTTTGGTTATATTCTCCAGCCGCAAATGTTCACACATTGTTATTACTTGATATCAGTGCATCATAACATGATAGACTTATTGTGGTGTTTTGTGTTCGCATTTAATATTCTGCACGAATATTCAGCAAACTCCCTGTAAACAATTGTAATAACAGATTCTAAAGTTATAAGATTTTAATAAGACAATGAATTTAGACTTTTTTTTTTTTGTAAAGCTTCTTTCAAACATTGTGCAACATTGTGTATTGTGAAAATCGTTATACAAATACATTTGACGTAATGTAAAATGTGTAGCATTAGGGTCTCCAGGACCAGGATTGAGGATAACTGCACTAGAGCTTACCTAACACCTACAATGCTGTAATTACACACATCATCTGCAACGTAAGATGATAACAAATACTTGGATTTTATTTAATGTTTTTTATTGTTGTGTGAACACAGTCAACTTCCAGATTGAAAAAATTGCAAACAAATCTACATCCAGGTGTGACAGCAAGAAATGAATATGAATTAAATAATAATTAGCAGAAAAAATACTTTCATTAACATTCCTTTAATGTTACCTTTTGACGTTTTCTCTGTTGTAACTACAATAATAGAGATAATTAGTGGTGTCTCTTGGAGAGAAGAACCTTTGTTTGCTTGCGTGCCTCATTAAGGTCCTGTCGTACCAACACCCACTGTGACTGGGGTTACAGAATTTCACCATAGCAACAAAAGAACCCCTGCCAGTTAGCAAAGTGACGTCAAAAGCCCCTCACAATGGAAACACCAGTTGCAAAGGACAACTTGGTCATCTGGACCGGCTTCAGGGTTCATCACTGTGAAATACTGTCTCATTTCATACTATACATTCCTAGTAGCAATTCGGTATTTGTAATAAATTTTATATAGAATGCTCTGGCTGTGATATTTATACATATTGTACAAATATTAGTCTGCATCTGTGATGATTCTCAAAAATGGAACAATATTTTCTAAAAAAAAAAAAAAAAAACAGTCTACAGTAAGCTATGAAAATGGAAATAGTATAAAAGCATAGCTTTCCTGAAAATTGGTAAAAAAAATAAAAAATAAAAATAAAAATCTCATGCTAGAGCATATGCAAGAATGTTTTTATCATGGTGCACTGTTTAACCTTACACATTTTGTGGACTGAATGAGTTATGTGACACCAAAAGCAGTATTTTATGACAAAAAGCAGTTATTTTAATGCATTTCATACCCAGAAAAACAAAAGCCAGTTAAATGGAAAATGTACTAGTCAACACTTCATTTCATGCAGAAAATTGTAAACCCAAAACTGATTTTGTGCATAAAATTATGACAAAAAGCAGTTATTTTAATGCATTTCATACCCAGAAAAACAAAAGCCAGTTAAATGGAAAATGTACTAGTCAGCACTTCATTTCATGCAGAAAATTGTAAACCCAAAACTGATTTTGTGCATAAAATTCAGGTGAATGCACTATTCATTTCATGAACAAAAATAGAAAACCACTGAAATCCCTTAACATAGCACACAAAGCAGCTAATCAGTTTGTAATATTTTCATATTTCACATTCATATTATAAATTCCCAAATTCAAAACGACATTACAATCTTTATGTTTGTACTGAACACCAGAACAACAGCATTATTTAGTACCAGTTACACTCCCTCCAATTAACTACACAACATGTCTGAGATCATACTTTTGGTCTGAATCATAATTAATATTTAAAGTGCTGAAAATCCCCAACACAGGCACACAAGCCAGGACGGGTCCAACTCAACTGAGAATACAAATCCCTATCACGCCACACTATTTAAATATTTTATCACTCTGTAAATATTTTAAACTGAAAGCGCTCTTATCTGAGCAAGTTGCTTATGGATTCTGAGAATATTATGCATATACACGCACACACATGACCAGCTGAGCTCAGCCAATATTGGTACTAAATTAGAGTCTGCTTTTAATTAATTAATTAATTAATTTTTAAATAAAATTATTTTTATTTCTTGACCACCAAGCAGTAAGCGAAAGAGGAAAAGCCAGATGTATGATTACATTGTAAGCTGTGAACAGAAGGAGAAAACTTTTATCCTAACAGTTTCTTCATTGTAATGGTGCAGTCATGGAGACAGTTGTTGAGGCATGGATCTAGGTGCACCCTTTTTGATACAAAAGGAATCTCCAGGAATACAGGAAGAAACCTATCCAGTGGATAACGCAAACATTACACTGTCCTGCAGAGTTCAGCTCCAACCCCAACTAAACAAACCTGAACCAGCTGATCAAGGTCTTACTATGCATACCAGAAACTTCCAGGCAGGTGGCCCTCCAGGACAGAGTTTGGAGAGTCATGCTTTAGGACAACCTATATGGCTTTTTGTGTGCATATACTGTAGGAGATTGTAGAGACTGTAGACAGCTATCAACATAGAATGACTGTTCTACTAATTTTACTAGATTGGGATCAGATTCACTGTTATTATGAGATATTTGTTGCAGTGCATATATAACACATGTTGGTCTGCATGTTGTGCCAAAAAGTAAGACTTGCCATTCATAAATCCTTGGCCACTAAAGCTTTCCTTTGCACTTCTTCGGTTTCTCCAGAGGAAGCACAGCTTAGTCTTGTCATCTGGCAAGAGGTGAACTTAGTGATTATATCTCACACATCTCTGCTTACATCTACAGGGTGTTGGCTGAACCGAAGCAGTACACTGAGGAAAGAAGGACCAAGTAAAGGGACCAGAAAATAGAAGCTTTTTTAAAAGACTGGTCCTTATTGTAACGTTTTGTGGTAGGAAAGAGGCAAGGACTCACATGCAGAGTTCAATGGGCTTTTATATGAATTCAAAAATAAAACTAAAGCAACTCTGGAGGGGAAAAATAAGGCAAGGCAATGCACAAGGCAGGGCTGGATAGCAGGGCAGGGCAAGACTGGAGCAACTGACCCATGGGAGCATAGACAAGCAGGAACATAGGATGATATGTGTTCACACAAAATATGACAACACGAAAGCTAGCAGCAAATGAAAAGCCCCACAGCTGGCCAAAAGAACAACTGGTCAATGAGAACATAAGCAGGTGCTCAACAAAATCCTACAGGACTTGAACAATGAACACTTAATGTACAGTATGTCCAAACCCCGACACTGACCAAAACTGAACTAGACAGGAGTGCCGGCATCTGAACATCACACTCCGCACATGCAACGCTTTATGTGTACGAGAGAGTGCACAGCGTGAGCACACTTGAAGCCGCAAGCTCACACAATAGACAAGCTGATATACGTTTCAGGGCCCTGTCATCAAACAAAGAATAAACACAACCAGAGTGACATAACCCTGACAGTGATGCTGAAAACAAACAGTTGAATAGAGTCCTGTCTTTACCATTACGATACTCCAAGGAAAGTGTAATGTATCAGGATTTGGTGGACTTCTAACCTTCCCAAGATATGATTTCTGCATGTAGCCAACTTGCTCTAATTTTGTGATTTCAAAGCAATATGCTCTAGAGAGTTGTGTCTTCGGTGAGTCTTTGTTCAGTACTGCAAAGATTTTCTAGCGCTGCTTCCATTGGGGCTTTGAGGATTTCTGCTTCTGGTTATATAAGCCAGTGGTTCTCAATTCCAGTTCTAGGGTGCTCTTCACATTTTGTATGTCTCTCTTATCTGACAGCCTCAGTTCAGTTCATTGATCTCCCTCCTTGCACAGACACTATTTAAACTGAACTGAGCTGGATGATGACATCACTCAATTCAATGATGAACTGCCTTTAACTGAAAATTGAGTGTTTACTATTATCATGTTGCATTACTGACACAATATTTTCCTAATTAATGCTGTACAGTTGCTTTGACACAATCTGTTTAGTTAAAAGCGCTATATAAATAAAGGTGACTTGACTTGATTTGACTCCTAACAAGCTGATGATCTGACTCAGGTGTGTTAAATAAGGAAGACATACAAAATGTGCAGAGCAGTGGTACCGCAGGACTGGAATTGAGAACCACTGATATAAGGAATGGAGATGCATATCATAGATTGCCATCCACCTCTACCCTTGTGGTGCAGGATTGGAGTAATGACAGAGCATGCCGTTCCTGTATGACTTCCGGCGTGCCGCTGTGATGGCGTCGCTGACAAGCGCTCTGTGCAAACGTCGCTGTTTTTCGTGTTATTTTTTATTATTTGTGTTACTTCTTATACATACCTTTGCTCAGACAGTACAGTCACTCATCCAGTATGCTCGACAAACACTGCTGGACATTCGATCTAACTTAAACTTCGGTTCGGAAACAACGCAGCCTCGGAACTCCAGCTGTGGCATTTACACACTCCCATTGCTGCCGGCCTGCATCCTAAGACGCTGTCGGAAAAAGAGGAAAGGCAAACGCGCTGGAATTCTATGCAGATCGCGGAAGAGAAGTTTTAATCCTCCTCTCCCTACCATCTTGTTAGCCAACATACAGTCTCTGGATAACAAACTCGACGAACTTAATGCGAGAATCACATTCCAGCAGGACATTCGAAACTCAAAAGGACCATAGTGATCAACTGCTGTGAGTGCTGGCTTTCTGTGAGACGTGGTTACACTCAGCAGTGCCCGACGCGGCCATAACAATTTTTTTAGTTTTTTTTTGTTACAATTTAACCTAGACAGATCGTAATACTTGTTTAGTTAATCATTCATTATATATATGCTCCTGTGTTTCAGTCTTCACATGGCTTGTGTGTTTTGTTTATGCCATGTGCTCTCCTGTCTTTTGTCTTGACCCCACCATTCTTGTTATCTGATTATTGATTCAGTTGCTCCACCTGTATCTCCCTCATTACCCACCTTGTTTGCTCCCTATTTATTCACCTTGTGTTTGCATTCCTGTGCTAGTTCGTTGTCGTATGTACCATTGTTGGTTCTGTCTGTTCCTTTCCTTCTTGATCCTACCTTGTCCCTCTGGGTAGTTTTTGTTAGTTTTGTTTTTCTATTAATAAAGAGCCCAGACTTCCTGCATCTTTGAGTCCTCACCTCATCCCTTCACCCAACCCTGACAGAAACAAAGGAGCTTGGAACGCCTCCATGGCTAAACAAGGGAACTTCCTGGCCAGGATAAGGGAGTCTGGAAGGGCCTTTGTGGCTTAGACAGGGGAGCTTGGGACGGCCTCCATGGCCAAGACGAGGGAGCTGGAAGCTAGAGGGAGCCAGCAGAGAGGGGGTGGAGGGTTGGGGGGGGTTAGTGATTCCGGATGTGACTAGGACATCTAACCAGCTGGACAGGACCAGCTGAGGAGGAAGAGGTTCAAGGGACAGGGGTAGGAGAACTGGATCTGTGGCAAAGTCCATCAACAGTTCCTCACCTGCCTATTCCAAAATCCAGAAACTCTTTGGTATGGTCCTCAAGGGATAGATCACCTTGGTTGAGGAGGAGGCAACTAGGTTGTTGAAAGTATCTCACATGTTCTATCTTCTCTTCACTGATTACCTGTCCAATAACTAGGGCTGGGCAAAAAAATAGATTTTTCAATATATTCCGTTCATAGGCTTGCAGCCTCCGTGTTACAGCTAATGCTGTGAGATTTTATGTTTGTTTTGTCTTAAACATAAAATAATTTGATCCTGTTTTATCAAGGCATGCGACTGTTCTGAGTTGTCCAATTTGCAGCATCAGTTTTTCATCTCGCATCAAAATTCTGTCTATTCATTGTATGCATTTGAAATATATAGTGGGGTTTTGTTTTATTGTACCCAAGTGTGGAACATCTGAATCGATACCCAGCCCTACCAATAACATATTAATTTTAAGATTTTATTTATTTGTATTTTTATCTTATGTTTCAGAACTCTTTAGTCCTGGGGTAGCCAACCCTCCTCTTGGTGTGTTTGATTGGGGTTTGAACTCTGCAGGAAGGCAGCTCTCCAGGAGTAGGGTTGACTACACCTGCCTTAGGCATTAACATTCATCTAGGACACTCAAATCCTAATGCTTGCATTTGAAGTTTTTTTATGCTTAATGTAATCTTATGTTTAAATGTTTTCTGTGTTCCCTTTGTTCCTGTGTTTGCTTCCTGTGCTTAGTTCCTGTTCCTCTTGTTCCTTTGCCTGCTTGTTTGTCTCCATGGTTCCCCTTGTTAGTTGTCTTGGTGATTGATTAGCTCCAACCCCTTGTTATCTTGTTACCTGTCTATTTAATCCCGTTTCAGTTGTGTTTTGTCAGTCATTGTTCCTGCATGTGTGTTATTATTCCTGGTTCCCTTATGTGGATTTACTCCTTGTTTCAGGTCTGGATTATCTGTGTATGTGCTTTTGTCAATTAAACTGTACTTGCATGTGGATTCTCACTATGTCTTGTCCTTGCTCATGTTACAGAATGACCGACCAAAAAAGGAATCCAGCAGCACAGTTAATGCGTCTCCATCAGGGAGATCGACCCATTGAGAACTATGTTGAGGACTTTATTGGACTGACTCATTTAACATCTTGACCAGGTGTGCCTCTTGATATTTTTTCATGGGGGGACTATCTGAGCCACTCACCTCACTCATACCTTTGCATGATCCTCACTGGATTCTGGAGTTTTACTTAGATCTGGCACTGCAACTGAGCGGCTCTGCATTTACTGTGGGTGCCACTCCTGAGCCACATCCCATCACGGCCGCCATTCCAGAGTCTCACCCCATAATGGCTGCCATTCCAGAGTCTCGCCCCGTCTTGGCCGCCGTTCCAGAGTCTCGTCGCATCATGGCCACTGTTCCTGAGCCTCTTCACAACATGGCACAGAGCTTTCAGCCATCATGGACGCAAGTCAGAGCCTCCAGCCGTAATGGACGCTACATCAGTGTTTCCGGTCATCATGAACATTGCATCTGAAGCTTTTATGGTGATTCCTAGGCATGTGAGACTGGCTTCCAGTTTGAAGGACACACTGCTTGTGTCGGTGCGAGCAGCTTGCATCTCTGTGGTGGTACCAAGTCTGTGGGTTTCAGAGGTGGTCCCATTGTCCGTTGTACTCTGTTCCGGCCATTTTGTGTGTTTGGGCCGCACACTGCTCTCCAGTCCATGAGTCCGCTCCAGAGCCTGCTCCAGTCCATGAATCCACTCCATAGCTAACTCCAGTCCATGAATTCCCTCCAGAGTCCACTCAAGCCCCAGAGCTCAGTCCTGTTTTGGCGCTAATCTGTGAGTTCCCTGCCTGTCCTGTCCTGTCTTGACCACTTAAGTCATCCTTGAACTTCCTGTCTGTCCTGTTTTGACCATAGTGGTCATCTGTGGATTCTCTGTCTGCCCTGTCATGGCCAAGGAAGTGTGTTAGATGAGGGAGACATACAAAATGTGCAGGGTTGGGGGTACTCCAGGACAGGTTTGAGAACCACTGTATTACAAGTATGATGAAACATGACTCATAGCCGCTGCATTTGTTTAAGCCAGGGGTGTCAAACTCAAATCCTGGAGGGCCGGAGCCCTGCAGAGTTTAGATTCAACTTTAATTAAACACACCTGTCCTGATCCAACTAATCAAGTCCTTCAGGCTTGTTTGAAAACTACATGGTATGTGTGTTGGAGCAGGGGTGGAACAAAACTCTGCAGGGCTCCGGCCCTCCAGGAACTGAGTTTGACACACCTGACTTAAGTCATCCTTAAACTTCCTGTCTGTCCTGTTTTGACCATAGTAGTCACCTGTGGATTCTCTGTCTGCCCTGTCATGGCCAAGGAAGCCATCCTAGAACCGTCTGTCTTTCCTGTCATGGCCAAGAGGCCATCTCTGAATTCTCAGGTTGCTCTGTCACAGCCAAGGAGGCTGTTTCTGAACCCTCAGCCTGTCCCGACATGACCACAGAGGTTGTCCTTGTACTTTCTGTCTGTCTTGATACGACCATGGAGGTCGTCCCTGAACTCACTGCATTTGAACTAGCTTTTGCACCAGAAACAGGTGTAATGTTTTTTATCGCTTGGCAATGTTTCTAAGATGGAAGAATGCTGTTTTTGTAACGTGAAATATGATTTTCAAAAGACAAGTTGCTGTCTAATATAACACCCAATTTTTTGACTGTAGAGGAAGTAACAGTACACCCATCTAGATGAAAATTGTAATCTAAGAGATTCTGCGTACTGTTTTTTTGGTCCAATAAGTAATCTCTGTCTTATCTAAATGTAATAGGAGAAAATTGTTGGTCATCCAATATTTTACAATTTTAACACTTTCTGTTAGCTTAGATAATTTAGAAGTTTCATCTGGTCTTGATGAAATATATAGTTGAGTGTTATTCCGCTTAACAAATGGAAACTAATCTCGTATTTTCTAATAATATTGCTAAGGGTTAACATTAGTATTAATTTCGTTAACGAAAACTATGACGAAAAATGTGCGAGAACTAAGACTAAGACGAGACGACAATAAGGTCAGTAAATGATAACTAAGACTATATCAACATGCAATTTCATTGACGAAATAAGACGAGACTAAAATGTATTCAAAAAAGATAAAAACTTTACCAAAAACCTCTTTTTATTTTTGTCAAAAAAGGAGACAAATTGTTATTGCGGACTGCTCTACACGCCTCTACTATGCGAGCTTTCATGAGTGTGGTTGCCAGATATC